ACGCCCAACCATTGAGCTAACCAGCCATCCCTATACAGGATCCGAACCCGTGGCCTTGGTGTTATCAGCACCACACTATCCCGAGTGAGCCATGGGCCGGCCCCACAATTCTTGGTTTTGATACGTACCATCTTTCATCCATTTCATTTAATTCATTCATTTAATAATGTAATCAACACCAGTAAATGCACCAAACCAAGAGCTGGAATGTCACCACTGGCCTCTCCCTACCTGCCCTTCTACCCATCTCCATTCCCTGCCCACCCTCAGAAATAGCCACTATCGGGCCAGCCCCGTGGCGCACTCGGGAGAGTGCAGCGCTTGTGAGCACAGCGACGCTCCCACCACAGGTTCGGATCCTATATAGGGATGGCCGGTGCACTCACTGGCTGAGCGCAGTGCAGGCAGCACCAAGCCAAGGGTTGCAATCCCCTTACCGGTCACGAAAAAGACCAAAAAAAAAGAAAGAAAGAAATAGCCACTATCTGAATTTTGTGTTTAACATTTCCCGCTTTTTATTGCTGTTTTCATTTTATAACATGTTTACAATAATTTTGCTCACTTTTGAACTTTTATTTTTAGACTGGATTTCATGCTACGTAGTCTTCTGGAACTTGCTTTCCTTGACTTAGAATTATATTTGTAAGATTCACCTGTGTTGTAAGTAGTTGCGTTTCATTTATTTTCATACCAATAAAGTGTTCTATTGTCTGAATGTACCACAGCTTATTTACCCATTCTTCTGCCATTGGACATTTGGGATGTCACCACATTTTTGGTGTTTTGAACTATGTTAGTATGAATATTCTGATAAATACCCCCTTTTATATAACTGCAAGAGTTTCTCTTACATCTGGGAGAGAAATTGCTGGGTGACACAGCATGAAAATGTTCAACTTTATTAGATATTGCCAATGTTTTCCCCTAAAGTGTCTGTTCAGGTTTATACTCCCACCACGAGTCTATGAGAGCTCCTGCTACTCACTTTCAACACGTGGTGCACTCGGGAGAGTGCGGCGCTGGGAGCGCAGCAGCACTCCCGCCGCGGGTTCGGATCCTATATAGGGATGACCGGTTCGCTCACAGCGCTCACTGGCTGAGCGCGGTGCGGCCAGTCTCAAAAAGGACAAAAAAAAAAAAATCACTAGTATTAAGTGCACTGGTCTTTATTCCACTAGAAACCACACAATGGCCATGGAGCTGAAGATTCAATTGGCTGAGCAGCCACTGATGAGGTAAGGCAAGGCCCTCAATGCCCACCCTGCCGACCGAGGAGGTGTGGGGGCATGGCAGGGTGGAAGACAAAGGTGGCCTTGGGGGCACTCATCAGACTGGGGGTCCAAGAGAGGTAGTTTTTCCTCAACCTCCACTGCCAGTCAGCCAGGCCCCCATTGGGTCCTCAGGCTCAAGTTAGCACAGGTTATGGGCAGGGCCCCTCCCTGGGTGGGGAGGAAGCATGAGCAGAGGGCGAGAGCACAGGAATTCCAGGGTTTTCAGGTGACTGAAAGGTTGGGGGTGGAGGAAGCCAGTTGACTGCGACTTTCAGAAGAGGTTTGCTTTACATGTATTTCTTTAAGTCTCAGATCCCTTAGTGGCAAATCAAGAATGGAACAAGAAACTCAGGGGCCCAGTCAGCCAAGTCCTCAGAGGGTCCGGGGACAGCACACCTTGCTTAGCATATCCAGAGTCCATCTATGCTCCTCCAGAGGGACTCCCTTCAGCTGGGGCCACCAACAGAAGGGAGTGCAGACAGCCATCAGGCAGGTGGTATCACCAGGCCCAGGGCAGAGAGCAGCCCTCCCTTGGATCCTTGTGGACTGATGTCCACCTTGGCCTCCAGGGGCAGAGGCACAGTGTCTTCAGGAGGGGAGGGGTGCAGGGTGGAGGACAGAACCTGAGACAGCTTGTCTCCAGCGAAGCTGAGCAAGAGCTTGAAGCTTCCCTGCAGCGTCACAGCCCCGAGAGCCTCCTGAGAGTCCTGGGAGCGACCCCCATGGGAAAAGGATTTGCTGGCCTGGTCTGGCCTTGGCTCCAGCTTCGGCCCCTGGACGCTGGGTCTGGGCCAAGATTGCCCCTGAAGGCATAGGGGGAAGGGTGACAGCCTGAGCTGGCTTTTCCGGGGCTGCCCCGGTTTGTCAGCCCCCTGCTCTAGGGGGTGTATATAAGGTGCCTTTGCTCCACCCCAGGTGTTCACATGAGTAGGTGAGTCTGTGGCTTCTCTTTCTGGTTTTAGAGATGGTCTCTGGGAGAAAAGTGGGGTCTTGGGAGATTCCAAGTTCTTTCAAATGGATCCCAGCTCCAGGCTAAGGCATGTCAGGAAGACAGAGGCTCATTGGGACTGGATTGCACCCTGGGGGAGGCCCAGCTTTGGGTGCCATGGGATGGTGTGAACTCTAGGATACCACATGTCAGAGGATCTCAGGAACGTAGTCTACAATAAGCACTGAGCTCTGAGCTCGGTGGGGGCACTGCTGCCGTCGAAGGCTCCATTAGCCTCTCCTTAAACCCTCTCCTCAAACCCTCTCCTCCAGTCCAAAGGCCAAGCTGAAACCTGAGAAGAAGTCAGGGCCCAGGCCAAGGAGCCACAGAGACAGCAGGCCACAGAAAGAACCGGTGATCCCAGGCATCATGGATTTCGAGCTGATCCCAGAGGCATTGAGAACCCCCAAGCCGCAAATCTCCAGTGCCTGCCGCTTTGGCCGTCTCAGCCACCACTCCTTCTTCTCCCGGCACCACCCCCACCCCCAGCGTGTGACCCACATCCAAGGTAGGGCCAGGCTGGCCAGGGCCCAGCTGGTGGGGGTCTGGGGGGTATGCAGAGGGAGTATCACTAATCGGTCTTGAGAACTGGAAAGGAAGTATTGACTCCAGCCCCCGTTTCCAGAGACCTGGAGCACACGGGGGCCTGGCCAGGGTTCTAGGGCTGCCAAGTGGCCAAGCCAGGACTCAACTTGGGGGACAGGAGAAGAGAAGCACAGGCTCGAAGGGCAGACCTCAGGTCCCTCTCGGATCGCCCTCACTGCCAGATCCCCCATGACGCAAATCAAAGAAAGGGATGGAAACTCGGCCCCGGGGCTGTGCTCTGCTCTCTGACTCAGCCACCCATCCGTCAACACCGACTAAGTGTGAACTATGGCTCAGGCACTTTTGTAGGCCTTGGGGATATGACAGTGAACTTAGACTAAAGTAAACTTAAAAATGTAGTGGCTGCGCTCCCGGAGCTGACCTCTAGTGGAGAAGGAAGGAAGTAGACATGGTGTCAAGTGCCCAGGCTCCAGAGGGGGGATGGCTATTTTTAAAAGGTGGTCATGGAAGACCTGACCCTCAACATGACATCTGAGCAAAGTGCCACAGGAAGAGTGTGGGCATTGTGCACATATCAGGGGAAGAAAGTCCCAGGCAGCCCAATCGGCCCTGGCTCTGTCGGGGGAACAGCCATTGCCGATGCTGATGCTGGCGTGGAGGGAGAAGAGTAAAGAGAAGACAGGAGAGGCCCTGGGGCCCAGGTCAGGTAGGCCTTGCAGGCCACCATCGCCCCCGCTAAGCCACCTCATGGAGTCAGATGGAGCCCTTGGAATGTTGAGAGCACAGAAGTGACAGAAATGAGATATTTTAACAAGGTCACCTTGGTCTCTGTCCCGATGATGTCTGACTAGGCAGGTAGCAGTGAACAATCAGTGGCCTCATTCTAGAGATACACAGAAGGTAAAACCGATGGGATCTGATGATCGATTAAAAGTGGGGTGCAAGGGGAAGACAGGGGTTAAGGCTGGCTCCAAGGTTCTTGGCCTGAGCAACCAGGAAACGAGTGCATTGACTGAGGCGAAGAAGCCTGTGCGAGGGCCAGCGGAGGGTAGGGAGGAGCCAGGGGTTGGTCTTGGACGTGAGAGATGTGCAGCGTGAGGTGCCTTCTGGACCGTGGGGCAGAGGTATGGGGTGCAGGGGAGAGACGCAGATGCCAGGGCTGAGAGCCGCTCAAGCAGAGGGGCTGCTCTAAGCGGAGCCCCTGGATGGGATCACCCAGGAGTCCCTGTAGATACAGCAGAGAAGAACCTGAGGACAGGGCTCTGGGACCCTGAGAATAGGAAGCTGAGAATGTTATAAGAAAGCAGCGGAAATGAGGACAGCCCAGTGGGCTAGGAGGACCCAGCAGGGTGAGGAGTCCTGGGACCAAAAGGAAAGTGTTTCGGGAAGGAGAGAGCCACTGCGCTGAGTCCTGACCGGGCTGGTCCTCAAAGGCGAACTATCAATTACAGTGAAATAATCACCCGGACTTTAGGCCGGAAGGTCCTCCCTGTAAGCTGGGCCCACCGCCTCCAGGCTGCAGCCTGGCACAAGCTGACGGATGGCGGAAGTTTCCTCCAAAGGCTCTCTTTCAATCTCTCTCCCTGTGATTTGAGCCCAGGCTTGTGACAGGCTGTGACTTAATGCCTCCGCCCCAATGTCCTCATCTTTAAACTGCCTACCCCTGTGCGTTTACACCTATGATTTGTTACCCTGTCATAGGAAACCAGAAGGACCTCAGGACTAGGGCCTCAGGAAGCGTGGGTTCTTGTCTCACCTCTGTGCAACTCATTGCATGACCCTGAGCAGGTCGCCTCCCCTGTCCCTTCTAAGTGCCCCTGTGGGTAAGGTGGTTGCCGGTCTAGGTGGTCCCGGGTGCCTCTCCCCACCCCCACACCCCCTACTCTGACGACCTATGGGCTTGTGGTTAGTGGAAGAAGTGGAGCCACAGTCTTCCTGCCCACAGCCTCTCTCTGGCCTCCTGGGGCTCTTGGGGTTCCCCCAGACCTCCCTCCCCACAGCCTCTAACCCTTCACAGATGTTACTGGGAAGCCCGTCTGTGTCGTCAGGGACGAGTTCTCTCTGGCTCCCTTGCCTCAATCCACACCCATATCCCGCTGTCTGATGGGGATGCCCACGATCTCTGTCCCCATTGGGGACCCACAGTCCAATCGGAATCCCTGGCTTTCTTCTGGTGGGTACTTGGGCCAAACCCCCTCTACTCGGGGCTCACACCTCTCCCCGAGGGCTGCCCCACTTGGGTGGGCGCTTGAGCAAGAAAGGACCATTGCTGTTCAGTCGGTGGGCCCACTGGGGGACCCCACGGTTTTCCTCATTTCCTCAGACAGCCTCATCTCTACATGACTCCCTACCCCCCACCCCTGCCCCAGCTCCTAGCCCTCAGAAATGTGCCCCTGCTAGGATCTGAGGTGCTAAAGGGGTACAAGTAGAGGACGAGCAGATTTTGGCAGCAGTCATGTGACTTACAGCCATAGACAGAAATGATATTTGAAATATTCGAAAGCTGTATGCTCAGGCACGGCCAATCAGAGCCATCAGTCATAGTGCTGGAGCAGCATTCTGGAGGCCAAGCCTTGCCCTTTCCATTACTGGGGTGTGGGAAAGTCAGGTTGCTGGGGACAGGGGAGATGCTGGGGAAGGGGCCGGGGCAGCCAGTGCAGAGCAGAAAGGTTTAGCATGCTGCCTGCAGGGCTCTTTACCAACCTCTCTGGGGAATAGTTCAATATTTAAACAGCTGGCACAGCCAGGTCTCCTGAATCTCAGTCCTGGCTTCAGGTACCTAAACAGAGGCACAGCTAGATTAAACCACACACATCTTGGCACAGGTGGCCAAATGTTCTTCAGCATGTCCCAGTAATGCCTCAGGCTAGGACATCAGCATCAGTCCCCTCCAGAAGTGAAGTGGCCACACACACACCCCACCCGTGGTGTGATTCCTAATCTTTCTCTCTCCAGGGCACCCCCTCTCCCTTTCCCTTTAAGATGTGGGGCAGGAAGGCTGGCAAGGAGAGGAGACTCTGCCTAGAACCCTCCCTGCCCTCCCCGCACCAGGTGCCACAGGGAGGGGAGGAGAGGAGAGCCCCAGGTATCAGTTGGCAGGGTCTTGTCCCCTCCTCCAGAGGCCTGGAAGAGGGAGTTGGAGGAGCTGACTTCGCGGGTGGCCATCTTCACCAAGGAAAACGAGCTGAGGAACAAGGAGGTGGGTACTGAGCAGAGGAGCTGGTCTGCGAAGAGATGAGACGGATCCGTGCCCTGGTAACGAAACCTCCCAAGACGGTCCAACCTGACCGGAGGCCTTCGAAGCTCTGCTGTTGGCACTGAGAAGGAGGGGCCGATGAATACAAACATAAGGGACGAGGGTCACACCGAGGGCCCAAGGGAGGAGAGAACAAACCGACGTGGAGAAATCCAAGAAGGGTTCATGGGAGAGGTGGCACTGGGGGCCTTCAATATAGGGGGATGTTCACAAGTGGACGGGGGAGGCACTCAGAGCACAGGCACCTAGCACAGAAGCTCAGATGCTGGCAAATGCAGGAGACCTTTAGAGACCAGGGGCCCAAGTACAGGATATAAGTGGGTGGCAGTGAGGCAGAAGGTGAGAAGGGCGCTGACTTTGAATGTGGGGAGGAGGAGCTTTTTCTTAACGTCCCCACTCGGTTTAGTGTCTAATCTCACAAGGAGCAGAGAATCACTGAAGGTTACAAACAGGATGGCGGGACCTCATGGGTGCTATTTGGTGATAAAACAGCAAGACAACTGCGAGGCAGCTTGCAGGTGGTTAGACTTGGTCTTAGGACAGGCCTGGCCCTTGTCTTGGGCAACCAGAATGAAGAGGCAGAGGCCTGGCTTCTCGTTCCTGCTTGCGGCTAACTCACTGTGGCACTCAGGGCAACTCAGCAAAGCTGTCTGAGTCTCAGTTTTCTTATCTTTAAAATGGGGTGAAGGAAAGTACTAGTCCTAACTGGAACTGTCAGGGCAGGAGGCTCCTGGCCTTATGCCCAGAGGCCTGGTTTCCAGCAAAGAAAGGATGCCAAGCTGTGGGGGACAGACCTGGGGGCAGCTGAGCTAGGAATTAGGGTAGGAGGTGGGGTCTTGGCACCAGATGCTCTTTTCAAATTTCTGATGGGTGGGGGCAAGGGCAGCAGGGAGGAAGAACAAGGACCACCGGGACATGTCCAGTGTTCAACCCTCTCTGCTGAGCTCCAGGAGGAAGAGCTTTTGCTAATTTAAGCCGTCTGCAGTAAAAGGGCTCACCGCTGGGGTCTAAGACAGGTTGGGGTGGTCTGGATGACGCTGGGACTTGGGGGAGCACCCTGGAGGTGCAGCCCAGCCTTCTCCCTCCCCTCTCGCTGCTTGGAGTCTCTGGCCACTTTTGTCCCAGCAGAAGGAGGAGCCTCCACGGGAGCAGGGGGCGAAGTACTCGGCTGAGACTGGTAGGCTCATCCCCGCTTCCGCCCAAGCTGTTGGTCGTCGCAGCTCCCGACAGGGCCAGCAGAACCGCTCTTCGGGCAGAGATAGAGGACTCCACACCTTCCTCCTGCAGGATCAGGAGCTGCTGGTGAGGCCCTGGTCCAAGGGCAGAGGCTGCAGTGGTGCCTGTTCCCAGGCTCCCAGCTCCCCAACTAGGAGTCTTACAAACTGCTCTAAGGCATTGTCTGTCCTAAGGATACCATCGTCGTGTAAGCCCTTGAGCCTGGAAAACCTCAGCTTGGAGTTGGCAGCTTCACTCCAGTCCCCTTCTGCCTCTCAGTTTCTGTGTGAGCCTTTCCCTTCCCTGTAGGTCCTTCCCCCTCTCTGGGCCTTAGTCCCATGGTCGTTCCAAACAGGGGGCCGAACACTGCCTCAAAGGTCTGTTCCAGTGGTGGCATTTGGTGCATTAATGAAGGGAGCTGCAGTGTCCTGCCTAGTGTGCTCTTGAACCACACCCCATAGCCTGCAAGGCTAGGCCCAGCCTGGTCTCCCTCACTCTGACAGGGGTTTGGCCTGGGCTTCAGCAAAGCACAGATCCCACCTCCTCTGTGTTCAAGTTTCCGCACTGAGGCTTGAGATGAGTGCATGCCTCGTTCCGGTGGGTTAAGGTTGGAGGTCCCTGTTAAAATGCACACCTGTTCTCCAAGAAAAGTCAGACATAGAGCCAGCCTCTCACCAACTTCATGGTGACCAGTGCTTTCAAACATGCAGTCCCTTTGGAGCCTTGTAACAGTCTAGTAAAGTGGATAGAGCAGACAGGGCCCAGGACCCCCATTCTGCAGATGGGGAGGCTGAGGCCCCGCCAGGTGGTATTCCACAGCCCAGGTCCCCCAGAGAAGGATCAGCATAGCTGGGACTAGAACACAGTACTTTCTCCACCATAGGGCGGTCTCACCTTGCCTGGAATTAGGTTCTCAGGTCCTGTGGGGAGGGGGAACAGGGCAGGTAAGTTGGATGTGCAGAATGGAGAAGGGCCCAGGGGCAGATCAGGGTGGGTCACCATAGCGGGTGGGTACCTGGGGGGTGAGGGTGGGGATGCAAGCAGGCATAGGGAGGAAGAACAAGGCATAGCCTGGGGAGAGGGCTGGCCCAGTTCCCACTCTGCTAAGGATAAGGTAGACCTGCTGGGGACTGACAGGCCCTCCAGGTCCTGGAAAGACTGACCAGAAGGTGCTGAGGGGACCCCATTTTCCTAGGACTCCAGGGGCTCCACCTTCCACCTCGGGCCCCAACTCCAGCCCGCTATAACCACAGCTTCCGTCGGCAACCTGGCCTGGGGAGCCCCCATAGCCCATCTGACAAAGAGCTGGATATTTTCCTGGTGCTACTTGACTGGAGGACACAGGGAAAAACGAGGCCTGAAGTAGCAAAGATGTCAAAGGCTAAGAAAAGAGCAAGGAGCCGAGTGTACACGCTGCTCTATGGGAAGGAGCCCCAGTTTGCAAAACCATCCCTGCCCTGACCCTCAGGCTGCCCACTGGGATTTCCTCACCTCTTTGCTAACATCTCCAGACTCTGGGAGCTTCAGGGTGGGGAGTCCTGTGGGGTCCCTGAAATCCTCACACCAAGGACCCAGGCGTGTGGGACTCGGTGGGTCTCCAGGGGGGCTGACGGGCCTCACTTTGCCTTCCCAGTGAGGGACCCTGGGGTACAACCAGCCCAAGCAGGGTCCAGGGATGAGAATCCACATATGTGATCTCTGTGGCTTAGTTCTGCCACAGAGTCCCAGCTAGTGTCCTCCTCTGTCAAGCCCTCGGATTCACCACCTATCCAGTGGGGAGGTTAAGAATCTTCCTCCAGGATATTTGTGAGAGAAAGCCCTCTGTAAAGTGCAAAGTCCCATGCAGCGGCTTGGCAGGGACCATCATGGGGACCAGTTTAGCCAAACATGTGGCCCTGGCAGCCCACTTCAAGGGGAGGGGCCCCTTGGTACCCTCTGAACCCACATCTGCCTGCATTCCTGGCTGCAACATGCCATCTGGTCACATTGACCCAGGCCCGTTCTCTTGCCCACAGATCCTGGAGCTCCTCTGCCAGATCCTGCAAACAGACTCACTGAACGCAATCCAGTTCTGGCTGCTCTACGCTCCCCCCAAGGGTGAGGACACAGCCCCGAGGCCCCCTCTCTCTGAGTGGAGGTTGCCAAGGTCCTGCCCTTGTTCTCTGGTTCTACAGGACTCAGATGTCATTTGGCTCCCACCCTAGGGTCTTTGGCCGGGGACTCTCCTCCTTTTTGGAGCCCCAAACCTACCCTTTCCAGCTGCACAATGTCACTGCTTCCTCTTCCCCCATTCCTCAGCAGGATTTCCGTGGCTTCACTCCTTGGAGGGGACCCCTCCATCATGCTGACCCCCAACCTAGGCACCTGGGAGGAAGAAGTCCAAGGACTGTGTTTGGCAGACATAACCCCTCACACACCACTGCAGGAAACACACACACGGGTGCAAATACACTCACATAAGAACACACACATAAGGTGCACATGAACACATGCATGTACATGCACATGCACATTGGACAGTGGGTGGAGAGTGGAGAGCAATGAGAGGCAGGAAGCTAACTGAGAAGGCTTCCTGGACTAGAGAGTGAAAGAGGAAGGAGAGGAGGAGGACAGGGGGGGACTGGTCCCCAGCAGACTTCCCAGAGAGGGCCGGGGGTGTGGTGGGTAGGAGGGTCAGACAGGGCCAAGAACAAGGTGCAGACGTGCTTGTGTGGCAGGAGAGGAGTGTGGAAGGGCTGGGCCAAGAGAGACGTGGGACCTTCCCCATGGGGACCTGTTGGCAAAGTGTGGCATGGTTAAAGAAAGCTGCCCTTAACCAGGGTTGGGAGAGAGCTGGAGGCCCTGATTCCTGCAGGAAGTCCCATCCAGGGACAGGAAGGGGGCTGGGGGCTGAGGCCTCCACTCCGGTTGTGCTTTCAGAAAAAGACCTTGCTCTGGGTCTCCTGCAGACAGCTGTGGCTCAGCTCCTTCCCCAGCCCCTAGCCTCCATTCCAGCAGAAAAACTCTTGACCCAGCTCCAAGAAGTGCAAGATCCACCACAAGAGAAGCAACAGCCTCCCTACAGGTAGGCTCTGCACCCTTCACCTGCCTTCTGTTCCCAGAACCGCTCCCCCACTTTCAGCCATCTGTCCTCCCAGGTGAGGCCAGTGGGGCCCAGAGGAAGAAGCCTGGTGCTGTCAGAACCTGGGCTGACTGAGCCTGTCCTGCAGGGAGACCTACCCCCTACCTCCCTGCCACCCCCTTCCGCCAGGACCCTCCACTTCTACCCAGGCTGCTTGAAGACTCATGCTGCCAGACCAGACTCTGGCTGCCAGCTGTGGGGGAGAAATGGGAGTAGGGGGAGGGGCGCAAGGGGTTCACTGGGGTCAGCTGTGACAAGATAGACCACATGTAGCTCTCCAGCAGCTCTAGATCTATGGGAAGACACAGGTGGAGAAGGAATGCTAGCACAAGGCAGGCTAAAGTAAGTACCCTTATACTGGTACTGAGTGCCCTGACGGCTGAAGGAGAAAGGTTCATTTCAAACTGGGGAAGGCCTCATAAAGCAGGTGAGTGGAGACTGACTGACAGCTGATAGCCAACATATTGAGTGCCCACTATGTTTGCCTGACACTGCTGGGTGGCTTACATGTTTCTAGTCCATTCAACAACCCCCTGAGTACTATCCCCATTTTACAGATGAGAAAACTGAGGCTCAGGAACAACTGAATGCCCAAATTCACCTAGCTAGTCAGTGGAATTGCTGGGATACAGACTCAATCCTGTCTGACTCCCAAGCCAAGCACTGCTCAGAATCACATGGGGAGCTTAACAAAAATGCAGATCCCTAGAGATTCTAGCTCAGCAGGTCAAGATGGAACTGAGGATGTGTATTTTCAGCAATCGCCTGAGTATTTCTGACAGAGCTTGGGGAACACTGCTAAGACGGACAAGATTTGAATGAGCAAATGAGAGGGTGGGAGAAGGTCATCCCAGGAAGTGGGACCAGCTGGGGTAAGGGCAAAGAATCAGGAAGGTGCACATTTTAGGGAATGTCAAGTTTGGGGTGGTTGGAGCGTAGTGGGCTTGGTGAGAAGAGGCAGGGGTTGGGGGAGAATGCTAAGGTTTGTGGAAGGCATGGGTTCTTGCTCTGGCCCTGGACTTGATTTTCCAGTAAAAGAAGGGCATAGTGAGGAAGGCAGGCTTCACTGTGACCTTGGGCAAGCCACTTCCCGTCTGTGAGCTTCAGTTGCACTATCTCTCAAATGCCCCCTCCTGGAGTTGTGAGGAGGGAAAATGACATTGGGTGTGTAAGAGGGTGTGGGCATCTACAAGACAGAACAGGATCATTCATGCCTGTGAGTCGTTTGGGATGCAGGAGTGCTTGTCCTCACCATCCAAACAAGAGGCTTCCTGTCTGCAAGAACACCAGGAGGGTGAGCAGGGGCTGGGGGAGGGCTGGTGCAGTGGTCATCCCTGACAGCTCCAGAGACAGGAGGGCTATGGCTCTCAGCAGCTGCACCAGGAGTCACAGTCATCCAGGTCCTGCTTCGGGTAATGCAGGAAGGCCACCTGGGTGCCAGTGTGGACAGATGCTTTCTGGCTCTCCAGGAGGGGTGACTCTTGCCCTGGGGTGGACAGCTTACTGCACCTGCACCCTCTGCCTCCTCTCCCCACCCACTCCACCATCCGTGGCCATGGGTTTCCAGTTTGACCTTCTCAGCCTCTCTGTATTTGGTTACAGTCAATCCCCGAAGAAGACAAAAACACCACCTCTGCCACAAAGCGAAAAACCAGGTAAGATTTCATGTGATAGGTCATTTTGGGGTCTCACTGAGGCCCGCTCTGGCTGGATTCCTCAGAGGATTCAAGACAATCTGGAGATGGGTCCCTGCCCAAGGAAGCTGCTCGTTTCACCTAATCATTCATTTACTCAACAAATATTTATTGAGCACCTACTACGTGCTGGGCTCTGGGGATCATTGGGGAAGAATTCAGACAAGTGCCTGCCATCATGGAGCTTACATCCCACTGAGGAGGAGTACAGACAACAAATCCCCCTGAGCTGGTGGGTGCTGCCAGGAACATAAAGCTGGGTGATGTGGTAGGTGGTGGAAGGATTAGCGGGGTGGGGAGGGGCTCCTCGCACTCAACAACAGGAAGGATCCGGCCCTACGCAGGCCTAGGAGGAGCCTGCAAGTGGAGCATGCACCTGCCTGGCGGATGACCAAGCAGGCCAGGGTGGCCTGGACCTTAAGGTCAGGGTAGCAGTGGCAGATGAGACAGGTGGCAGAGCCGCCTGCAGGAAAGGCCAGGTGTGTGATCTTCCGCAGGGCGTGCGTGACCCCTCCAGCCTCTGTGGAGCACAGACTGTGGGGTCAAGAAGGGATGAGGGAGACCAGGAAGGAGGCTGCTGCAGTCATCCTGGCACCTTAGACCAGAGTGTGGGGGGGATGCGGGGGCTGGGTGGTGGTGAGAGGAGAAGAAATACTGTAAGGGGTCCTGGTGCCTGGTACAGCGTCTGGCACAGAGTAGGCAGTTGATTGACATTTCTGAGCTGGATGTTGAAAAGAGAGGGTGGTGGCAAGGCTCAGAGAAGGGCATTCGCTGGCCCCAGATCACCAGCAGAGCTGAGAGCAAAAGCTGGGTTTGACTCAGGCCTCCCACTTGGCACTCACATGCCCACCTGGGGCCTTTCTAGGAGAAGGGCTCTGCCTGGGCTCCTGGGCAGCTCTCAGGTAAGGCCTGGCCCTTCCTTGTCCTCTCCTGATTGCTCTCTCCCGTTGCCCCAGAGTACATCGGAAAAGCCCAAGTCCTCCGGATGCATCCAAGCCAGGACATGGGGGAGAAAATGTCAAAGCCAAAGGCAGAGAGCTGAGGAGCCCTGGCGACTCTGCCTGCCTTGCTCAGGAGCAGCCCCTGAGTGTGGAGGTGTTTCTGCCCCTGCCACCTCAACCGCAGCATCGAATTTCTTACTGCAAAGTGCCTACTAAATAAAATCCTGTCTTTCCTTTGAGAGGACTATTCTACTCTCCTAGCAGGAGCAGATCTGTGCTTGGGGACATCTATTCCAGAAGAGGAGATGGGCTGCACAGAACCATCCCCACTCCCATGGAGAAGGCCCAAGTGCTACCGCCCAAACGGGGCTTATGTGGTTCTTGAATGTTCTAGAGAACTGAAGGGCAGATGCTTGTTGGGGCCACCTGAGAAAGGGGCTCTGCCTCTCCTGGAGCCAAGACACACAGGGCCCTGGGTAGAATAGAGCAGAGGTCAGGAACCCCACAGGCCTCCTTGGAATGATCTTTGTTACCAATTATTGAGTTTCTACCATGTGCCAGCCACTGAGGCAGCGACCTAGGTAATAGCTATCGATGAGCACTATGTGAATTGCTTTACACACTTCATATGTGGTACTATATTTGAATGTTTCAAAAGACCTATGAGGTAGAATATTAACACCATCATCCCCATTTTGTAGATGAATAAACTGAGGCTCAGGTGAAACAACTTGTCCAAAGTCACACAGTTAATAAGTGGCAGAGCCAGGATCCAAACCTGAGACATCTGACTCTAGAATCCCTACTCTTAACTGCTGCTGTCTATTGCCCTACAGACAGTGGCCCTCTCCAAAAGCTGAGGTTCCATTTCTGAAAAGCATAAGGGGAGCACAATAGTGGTTGGTAAAATCAAGGAGGAAAGGGGCATTACATAAATGTGATCCAGATGGCAGTTGGGTTGTCTCTATCCTTTAAGAGCTAGAGAAGATGACCTTGACCTTCTGGGAAGTCCAATGTCTTCCTTGAGATTTCTGCAAATTCTCCGGAAAGCTGGGATGGGGAGGAGGCATTGAGGATTGACAATGTCATGGTCACCTGTGGCTCTAAGCTCCTATTCTATTGACTTAGTTCATGGATTGAGTGGACTTAGTTCCATGGACTGTGGCTCCATTCCATCCTGCAACACTGCCTCACCTCACATTCATTCATATGGATTCAGATTCCCTGGGTTTCTCCAAATACCCCATGCACATAAGCTTTTCTGTACAGCAGGCTTCAATCAAGACCAGTGGCTATATGGGGATTTGCTGTGAATCTGGCAAACAGCTTCACATTCATTAACCCACCTCGTTTTGAAAGCCTTGGCCACTCTTCCACTGGGATGTTTCCCCAGTGACAGCACGTGTAACAAATATGCCCCTTGACATCTCTCTGGCTTTATCCTCACCCCTGCCACCAGTTTGCCCCCCGAAAGCCCACATTTTTTTTTCATTTTTTTAAAAATTGTGGTAAAATATAACAAAAAATTTACCATCTTAACCATTTTTAAGTGTACAGTTCAGTGGCATTAAATACATTCACATTGTTGTGCTATCATCACCAGCATCCATCTCCAGAGCTCTTTACTTGCAAACATGAAACTCTATACCCATGGTCTTAGTCCATTTGGGCTGCTATAACAAAATACCTTCGACTGGGCAATTCATAAATAGAAATTTCTTGCTTACAATTCTGGAGGCCAGGAAATCCAAGAGGAAGATGCTGGCAGATTTGGAGTCTGGGGAGAGCCTGTTCCTCACAGATGGTGACTTTTATGTGTCCTCACGTGGCAGGCCCTTTTATAAAGGTGTTAGTCCCATTCATGAGAGGAGAGCCTCCCAAAGGCCCCATCTCCTAATACCATCACCTTAGGGGTTAGGCTTCAATTTGGAGGGATATAAACATCCAGACCATAGCACCTATTAAACAATAACAACTCATTCCTTTATCCCAGACCCTAGCAACAACCTTCCTACTTTCTGTCTCTATGAATTTGACTATGGTAGGTATCTCACATAAGCAGATTCACACAGTATTTGTCCTTTCATACCTGGCATATTTCATTTAGTGTAACATCCTCAAGATTCATCCATTTTGTAGCATGGCCAGCATTTTCTCCCACATTTATTTTTTTAAATCAATACAGCAGTTCAGCCTCCTCTAGCCTCTGTTCCCAAACTCTCCAGCCCCATCTGGGCCTGTCCAACCTTGTCAGGGGCTGAGCTGAACGAAAGGTCTGTTCGTGGAGCAGGGGCATTTCCGCATGGCAGTTGTGGCTGTAACACCATAGCCCTCCTGTGTTAAGAATAGTTTTTTTGGGGCCGGCCCGGTGGCGCACTGCTACAGTGCGCCGCTTGGGAAGCGCGGTGGCGCTCCTGCCGAGGGTTCGGATCCCACATACAGACTGGCCGCTCACTGGCTGAGCGAGGTGTGGGAGCAACACCGAGGGTTGCGATCCCGTTGCCAGTCCCGGTCCGGTACGGGCGCGACACTGAGGGTTGCGATCCGTTGCCGGTCACGAAAAAAGACAAAAAGAAAAAAAAAGAATAGTTTTTTTAAGTACACACAGAAAAAATTCTAGAAGATATCTGCTTCCACAATAAACCATAGTTGTTGGCACGAAAACCCTGACCCTTCAGGGAACCCTTCTAACTGACCTTTAAGTTTTCAGGATACATTGCTGTGAGATTAATATTTGTCACTGTGGATCGTCATAATCTTCATATTCCACAAAGTAAGCCTCTCTTCAAAGTTGCTTAGCCCATCCTTCAAATTTATTTATTCGCTTAGCTTTCTCTGTCATGTATTTGCTTTCGCAACTCCCTGCAAAATGTTCACGTCACTGCCTGGCCTTTGCACTGTCTGTCATTGTACTTAAAGACAAGACTTTCTGGGCCTGGTTTCTCATCCATATATTTCTAGGGTAGACTGTGAACAGATCTTTCTCAGCAGCCCTGTGGTCTATGCGGAGAAAGGATAATAAGGGGGCTGAAGTGAACCATGTACACATAAAAGATTGTGGAAATAAAAACTGTGATATGCAGATGTGAAATTGCCACACTGCAAACACATGGATGGGCCAGCTGTGGTATACGGATGGCCATGACCTCATGCCATGCTCACAGCAGCCCAGAAGTAGACGTAATGCCCACATTCTACAGATGGGAAACCTGAGGTGTAGAACAAAAGTAACCTAAGAAGTGGATTCAGACCCAGGGCTTTTGGACTCCTGGTCAGTGCTCGCTTCATTCTGCTCTGCTGCCACCTGTGGGCCACACCCCAAGGCCCATGCTCTTGGGTGAAGGGCCAATGACCAGTGTGCACATGCCAGGGCTTGTCCCAAAGCCCTGCCAGGAACAGCCATGGGAGGGTACCTGGCCCTGCCCCCAACTAGCTGTCTGTCCCTGGGCAAGTCCCTCTCTTTGGGACTCAGTTTACTCCTCAGCTCACTAGGGCCCCTTCTTAATAGTTGGATAATCTGTAATTCCAAATTTAACTAGAGAGTCATATGGAGTTCTCAGTAATAAGTCACTAACACTTGTTAAATGCTTTCTATGTCCCTGGCACTACATTTAGCATTTGTAGGGAAGAAAAAGTAGTGTCTTCTCCTCACCCACCACCAGGTTCACAGCTGACACCCCTATAACAAAAGACAGGTTAACGAGAGAAAAGCCTAACAAATTTGCTTAGCCAAAATTTTACACGACACAGGAGTCTTCAGAAATGAGGATCCAAAGACTCAGGGAAAACTGTATTTCTGCTTAGATTTGATGAGGAATGGACAGGTGTAGAGTCACGACTGGACAAAGGGTGTGCTCTAATGGTGATAAACTGGGGGTACTTAGCAAGGCCTGTTTAGCAAGTGCCTGTTTATTCAGATGCTCCTTGGCCTCCAGGTATAGGGGAGAACCCTCTGGAATGAGGGTATAATGACCTACTTTCAGGCAGTGTAGGTCAGAAAATTCTATTCTGACCATGCTTAGGAGAGAAAAGGGGGAGAAGGGCAGAGTGACCTTTCTGCCTCTGCCATTTTCTCAATTGGCAAAACGTCATATTTTGGGCTCTTATGTTCTGAGACCCAACACTTTTTATATACAGTATCCCATTTAGTCCTCAAAACGAGATTAAATATTATTATCATCCCCATTTTTAGTGAGGAAACTGAGGCTGAGAGAGGTGAAGTAACTTGTCACACAGCTAGTAAGTGGCAACCCATGCATTTGGTCAGCACAGCACACGGCTTCCCTAAGTGTTGGGGAGGAACCAACAGGAAACCGAGGTGCAGAGAAAGATGTGACTCCCTTCAGTCACACCTCCAGAACCAATGTCCCTTGGTTTCCCGGGCCAGTGCCCTCTCCTGGCCTCCATTTCTTTCTAGAGCTGCTAGCAGTGCCTCTTCTAAGGTGGTCTAGCCAGGGCAAGGAGAGGGCTCTCCTTTTGGGATCCTGGCCCTTTAAAGTCACCTCACCTGGAGCTGCACACCTTGGACTTAAAAGGGAAGGCAGAGGTGAAGGGGCTCCAGAGATAAGCTGCTCCTTTGCTGGTGGTCTGGGGAGGGCCCAGTCCAGCCCGGTGGGCTGTGTCTCCACCCCAGCGCAGCATCTCGGCCCAGCTGGGCAGGCCAGAGGCAGCACACTGCAGCCAACAGACCATTTGACCTTTGGCTATTTTTTTTCAAACTAACATTTAAAAATCAGGATTTGAGGCTTTTCTTATCATCAGAAGCTAGGGGAACACTGGATCCGTGCTCTACATGCCATAAACTGTCATTCTTCATTGTCCCCACCCTCACTGACAAGATTCATCCTGAATCGGAGAGCCCTGCTCTGGACACACAAGCTCTCGCTCACTCAGCCTCTGCTCACTGAGTGAGCATTTCGTTCCGTGCCTATTTTATAGGAGCTGGGCCCCAGACAGGGACAGGGCTTTGCCCACAGTCAGAGCAGGGAAAGTTCTGTGTGAAATGTATTTATTGCATTCTAAGTCACAGGACATTAGCAGTAGAGGATCCCATTTCCTTCACTGCAAAAGATGTTTACTGACCACTTAGTTTTATCTGGTG